AGGATCGATGCTGGCTGACATTGTGTGTATGTTTGCGAGTGTGCGAGTGTGCGCGTGTGCGCGTGTGAGAGAGAAAGAGAGGCGCGCGTGCGCGCGTGTGTGCGCGCGCGTGCGCGCGCGCGCGTGCGTGGAGGGCGGTGGGGAGGGGGGGGCCAGAGGCACGCGGAGTTACAAACCTGCGTGTCTGAAATATCCGACCCTATCCGACATCTGCTTGCGTGCGTGCGTGCTTGCGTGCGCGTGTGTCAGTGCGTGTGTGTGCATGTGCGCCGCGCGTGCTCGCGCGGCGAGTTGCGCCGCATCAGCTCAGAAGAAAGAAGACAACCATCGCGAGGATGTGAACCTGCACGTGGGACACGACGAAAACCATCGTGAGGATGTAATCCTGCACGTGGGGGAGGACGAACACCACCGTGAAGATGTTCACCTGCGCTACCGTGAAGATGTCGTTCATCTGCACGCGTGCACTCACGAACGCCACGCCGAGCTCCGCGGCGAGCATGGCTTCGTGGCGGGGCAGCACAAACACTGGAGGATCGCTCGAGCCCTGGGCTCGATCGAGTCCTTTCCTTCGCTCTCCAGGGCGGGGGCGGGAGAGGGCCGAGGGGAGCGGTCGGGCGGGGTGAGAGAACGGGAAGGAAGGCCACGAATGATACTACAATTCCCCACGCGCGCGCCATATCCTCCGTATCCAGGCCAGGGAATCGGAGGAACCATCGAGGATGAGATAACAGGATCCTACTTAGCTACCCAGACACAGCCAGGGCCGCGCAGCGAAAAGCCCGAACGACGCACGCCAGAAGGAGGAGCCCGTCTGACTCACTCCAGGGGAACAAAAAAAACACCAACAACTCACACCACGACAAGCCCGAAGGACGCACACACCAAGAGGGGCCCCAACGACTCACACCAGGACGACGGGCACGAACGATTCACGTCGCAAGGAACCCGAGCAACCCACACGCAAGGACGCGCCCAAACGATTCACACCAGGACGATGGGCCCGAACGTCTCACACCGCGAGGAGCCCGACCGACTCGCACACCAAAAGGAGCTCGAACGACGCGCATCAGGACGAAAAGCCCGAACGACTCACACCACGAAGAGCCCGAGCAACTCACGCACCACGATGTGCCTGAAGGACTCACACCAGGAAAGACGAAAAGCCCTAACGACTCACATCACGGGGAGAGGTACGACTCCCATATCTGCGACGCACAGAAGAACCTACCTCTTGCGTGAGCTCTGTCTTCTTCATCCTGTGCAGGGCGAATTTGTCCTGTTCTTCCCGACAGACTCCGCGCAGCATAGAATAACGTCGGACTGAAATTAAAAGGCAGAGCCACACGTGTTGGCCCTCGTTGTCTTCGATCCCCAGCGAGACATAGCTCTTCTGGACCCCGCCTTCTCTCGCACTCCTGTCTGAATCTCCCTCCGTTACCAGAACTCCCTGGAACCAGCAATAGTGAAATCCCAGGCCAAGGCACAACCACTGCACCCGATAGGAACAAGAAGAAAAGGCATGAACCGACAAAGGCGACCTTGGAGCCACCACCGACGGCAAGCCGACAAGAGCTGGCAAATAATCCAAAGCCCAAGCAAAGCGGCATCCCAGATCCATGAATCAAACGACTGAACCGACGCAGAGGCCGAGGGGGATAACTATGAGGAGAACACATATGTGTTTGCACAGGCCGCGGTGCTCAGGTGCTCAGGCAGGTGCGCAGCGAGAGATCTCGACGTTCTCACACGTGTAGATCAATCGGGGGTCCACGAGCAGCGATGTCGCCCAGCACTGAAGGAGGGCTACATCACAAGGTAATCCAACCAATGCACCGTATCTGAGAAAAGTCACCAGCACCATCACTTCCCAAAGTACCTATCACCACCACAGAGTACAGTAAGCAGAACCCAAAGCACCCAAGTACTCGAAGCGCCTCGGAGGATGAGTAGAGACATACCCACCATTGGCTACATACCGAAGTCCACGACGTGCAGACAGCGACCACAGACCCCTTTCACGCAACATCATGTGTCCAGCCTCGCTGTACACAGAAGCAATCAGATATAGCACCGTCACATCCTGAGTGATACATATTCCCATCACCACTAATGGAGGAGACACCGTACACCGTCTGAGCCCACTGCCTCGCAGTCCCAAGAACACAGTATACACGCAGAACACGAGAAAATAACGGCGACCACCTTGCCGCACACGATAATACACGCTGGCTCTGAACGCACGCGCTGCCTACAGCCACGCCGAAGCAGTTGCGCCGAAGCGGCGCATTTCACTGAATAGTAAGTTGCTCGGTTTTCGCAGTGCCCAACATAGCAGGCTGGCCGATGGGGATTATCATCGCATCCTTCAAAAGATAAAGCATGCCCTTGGAATTGCCAATGGCCGCGCGGCCTGTCCCGTAGTAGACCACGACGTCCTGGAAATCCCGCAACGCCTGGGACTCCGCATTGTGCTTCATGGCGCAGCAAGTGAAGTAGAGGCCGCTGTTGTCCACTATATCAAATATCCGTTTTGCGTTCCCCCCTTGCGACATCTCCAAGGACTGCAGATCCATGACTTTACCTTTCACCGACAACCGGAATGGAGGGTTCAATTTGTTGCGGAGAGATCGAAACACGGAAACGCAACAATCCGAAGATGGAACCGCATAACTCATCTTGATGAGATTCTCCGACGTCGGTCCAGGCAGAACCTGCGCGGTCGTGCCCATCTCCCCGCCAACAACTTCGATCGACGTCAGTGAACGAATCCGCGTCAGCAACTCCCCGTTCCAATTGTTCTTCCCCGCCCCCTGGATGCGAACCTTAGACAGGTCCACGACGCATGGAGCAACATCGCCCCGATGCCGACGCTCCTGTACAGCACGCCAGATGCTGCAGATATCTTCAGCGGCGTCACCCCATAAGCACACGCTGATGGGCCCCGTCTTGTCCACCATGACCACGTCGGCCGCCTTCCCTTCCGAAGACGGGTCCTTGCCTTGCGCTTCCGCGGAGACCCGTCTGCGGAATGTACATCGCGGGGACTGGTGTCGCATACAACCACGACGCCCTGAAAATGACACCTCCCGCCCTCCTCGGAAGACTGGAGAATTGCCAGCGCAGATTTGTGGAATACCTCTTCGGAAGTCGACGAAGTCGGACCAAACGCCTGCCCCGAGAGAATCAGATCAATGCCACACAAACCAGAAGGCGACGCCGCATCCGAAAGTTGTATCGATCCATGAGTCACGGCGCTCTCCTCGGCATGTCGATGAGCAGAGTACTCAGGACGAACCTCCGATACGCTTTGCCGCAACAAAGCGTAGTGCCGAGATGCCGCAAGTTTTTCAGGAGGATCCGGTGGTAGCATTTTCCTCTGCTTGGCCGTGCGCGATTGCACAAATTTGGTATATTGCTCCGTGACACCCGTCACGGCGAAAGTGTGATCAGTCGCTGAGGCCTTCAGAAGGAGTGTTTTACGCTCGGCAGCTTCGTCTGCGGAGACTCCGAAGCCAGGGTCCACCATCGGCCGAAACGCCGCGGGCGCGCCCAAGCCAGTCTCTGCGTTCTGGCGCGCACCCGCATCGCAGGTCTCGCGCACAATGCGAAAGTAGTCCTCCTCCAAAAACTCCCTGGAGTAATCCTGAACGTCCGCCCCACTGAGTTCGACGACTTCAGCCATCTCCTCCCAAGCTGACCACAAATTCGTGTCCAGCAACTCCAACCATTCAGGCCTCATAGCCGACGCGGCATCTCGAGCGAAAACTTTCTTCTCTCCGTCGCCGATGGACTGCGGGGAGATCAGGGGGATGAACGTTGACTGGGCAAACCGGTGAGCAAATGTCCTGGAATCGAGCGATTGCTTTGCGAGAAAATCACGCACGTGCTTGTAGTAAAAACTGAGGGACCACTGAGCATGCTTCTCGTCAATTGACGTCGCTGGATCACCAGGACTATTCTTGAAATACTGCTCTTTATGATAATCAATGTAGCTCTGAATTTGGACAGCATCCAACTTCTCCACGAGACTCATGGCTTCTTCGGCGGCATTATGCTCGTCGTCCGCTCGCAACTCTATCGGGCGAATGAGCAGGAATTCCTTCGCCGCCACTCGAGTATGCAGATCATCCACCAAAGTGGAAATGTCTACAGCCATGTCCTCGCCGCCAGAGCCTGCATCATCCGACGATTGGAGCAACGTTGTCAAATCAGCCCTGCTAAACGATTTGTCGAAAGGCCAGCCCTTGCACTCGAAAATCTTCTTCAGCGACTCCACTGTCACCGCTTCCGCACTTGCGCCGCTACTCGCGCCATCCGCGCGACGCCCTTCCAGGAACACATGCAAACCCTCGACGCCAGGCTTCAAGATAGCTTTCTCTGCCGCGCCGTCCGCTTGCACAGCAATGTTGTCGAAAGACGCCCCCGCAGCCTCGAGGAAGGTCGGAGTGGACATGGCCCGAGTCCCGCGCTGGAGGATTGGCCACCTCACTGAAAGAGATGGACTCGGAACAGGTGAGTGATCAACGGCTGAGCTACGCTCACTACCGATGATATCACAGGCGCGCTCCACTCGAGCCCGCGGCTCGCAACAATACACTAACTGGGCGGGCACGGACCGTACGTGCGCCACAATCCACGACAAACCCACTATATGCCACAACCAGATCTGCGACGCGGATCACTCGCATCCGCAACGACTAAGATCTGGACTGGTACGTATGATGAGAATGTCAAGGATACGATGTGGTCTGACATCACGGGTGCTGCACCAGCTGATCGATGTGACGCACGATGTCGTGTACAGTCGAATTTGGACGATGCATTGTTGAATGACGTACAGGATGTTCGAGAAGTGATGATTCTGCAGATGATGATGCATGGACGTAGGGTGGCGTTCGCAGTCACGATCAGGAGACAGGGCACATACCCAGGGCCGTGTCCCTTCTCTAGAGCAAGGAAGGAGGGGCACAACACCCACTCACTCAACACACGCACTCTCAATTCGAATGCGAGTACACCATCAGCACAGACCATATGTTCCAGTACATGTAGTCTCCGCCATTGTGCACGATCCACATGACGACTCTGTGATTCCCTCTCTCCGACCACGAACTCCATCCTCTTCTCTATCATCATCTTGTGCTTATTGTGGCTCTCCCGACGATGAGGCTGCCGACATTGTTCCCCTGATGGTTTCCATCCTCTTGCCTAGCTCCATCTTGCGTTTCGCGTAGCCCACTGGAGGAGGCCAGGTGTCCTCCAGCTTCTCTGGCATCTCGGGCATCTGAGCCTGCGAGGTGTTTACGCTGTCGTAGTCGGGCCACACCTCATAACCTTTCCATCCGTAGGCATGCCGCGTCTCTGGCTTGTTCTTGCCCCAGGCCGGGTTTCCCCCCTCTAGAGCCTGCCGCCCGTCGCGGAGCTCTCTGCAGGATGCCACAACATCGAAGATCTCTTTGTGTTGGTCCTTAGCGATCTCCTCGCGACGCGCCACCCTCAGCTTGAACTCGATATCCTTCATGTTCTTCGTCTCGTCGGCTTGCGGCTTCATGTAATCTTTGGCCGATGGCCAGATGAGGGGGAGCTCCGACTGGTACTTCAACGTCCCGTGGGCCTCGATCAGCTTCCCAGGCCTGCCGTGATTCCTTGGATCTGGTCCTCGATGGTACGAATGTTCTCCGCTACCATGTAGATCTCCTGCGTCGTCTGCGCTTTGACCATGGCGCTGCGAGTCAAGCACGTCGTCAGCTGCAGCTTGGAAGCCTTCAGGGTGTCCATCTGCGCCTCGAGTACCTTCAATATTTCTGTCGTCACCTCGCGGCTCCTCTGCAGATTCGTCTCCTGCAACTCGATCACGTAGCTTACGTGCCCAATCACCTGGTCCTCCGATTGGCCTCGATACATCGGAGCGGCTTCTGGTACTTCTGGAGGTGCAGACATCCCCAGCTTCACGCGAACACTCGGGAGAAAGGATGCACTTGGCGGTGTTGGAAGACCGAGCGCCCGTGCGGAGCTAAGCTCACAGCGAAAATGATACACGGTTAGAACCCACGGGCACTGAGAAATGCTCGTGGACACCACCGATTGCTGCTGGCCGAGCCAAGCTCACAGGCACGCGTCATCACTACAAACCAAAATGGCAACAGCAACGACAACGGTGCAGGAAATGTGACCTTAGCTCTCTCCTGTTACCCTGGGTGCTGGCGTAGCCCTTCCCATAAACCTGTGGAGCCTCGCGAGAGCCATCTTCGGACACTCTTGGGCCCTCTTGGTGCCTCCTCGGCGCTTGTCGGGGCTAGCTTGGAGGACATCGATCAAAACACAAGAGAACTTCAATTAGTGATGCCCCCTCGAGCCATTGCTCCTGCCGAGCTCCGACTGGGTGCATGGGAACTCTCCAGAGAGGCATTGAAAGCCTCGTTAATTGAAGTATCCCTACACACGCAGACCGTGGTCGTACGGCACCGTCGCATGACATCGCTTTGCCCAAACATCCAGAAACGATGGGTCCGAAACACTGTACTCGTCGGTCCACTGTCAGCAACGTGCAGCCTCGCAGTAGGTTACCGTGAAGATGGCAATGAGCTGACCTTCCAGAGTGGGAGAGGAGGAGGAGGAGGAACAAATGATGGGGAGGGAGTGAGCGAGGGGAAAAGTAGGAGGACGAGAAGGACAAGGAGGAGAGAGCACAAATGCAACGCATTGCACCAATCTCGAGCTCAGCTCGCTCTTCAACTACTAAGCCGAGGGAATAGAGAACCGCGGGAAGATTGCTTAAGGCGGAAGCGATGGCATGTAGGCACGTGAAACTCACAGCCACATTGTTCAATACAATGAGACAGGATGGCAACGGCGACACCTGAGGTGCAGGGAAGAAGGACTTTGCCCAATCCTAAACGCCTTGCTGATTTCGTGTTTTTTTCTTGGGAGCCTCTTGGACCATCACGCGGCTGCTGCGGACCTCTGTCTTTCCCCCAGCGGCCTCCTTGGAGCCTCTGCCAATCGAGAGCGACCAGATGGCTTCCCCTGGATGACCCCCAGAGGCTTCCCCTAGAGTACCTCTCCCGCCATCTCATCCAAACACGAACGCGTTCCGAAAAAAAGCCATGCGTCAGCTGATTGGACCCCCTCGTTCATGACCTTCCATGCCCACCCTCCTCCCTCAGGCGCGGGCGCGCACTGCGCCCATGACATGACATCTGCCCGCTGAGAGCTCTACCAACATCTCACGTGCCATGCCGACGAACGGAAGGGTGAGTAAACAAAAGGAAGCGCGATGAATGCAACTATTGTGGGTGGCCATGTTCCAACCGCGCATTGGATGCAAACGCGCGCCATGGCAACGAACCCATGGTCTGCGCATTGCGCACCCTACTGCGGCCCTGCCGCTGCAGTGAAAAACGCGCACAGAGCCGACACAATCAAACACTTTACTGCACCAGCTGGAGTGCACCACGCATGCCTCGGTACTGACAGCTGTTCGCAGCTGCGCAGTCCGCAGAATGCCACGCGCAGAGCTGCGATTCCAGGTCCAGCATCTCGAACGGGGGCAGCCGCGGCGGCCCGGCCCAATCTGCACGGATGCTCTGTGACAGCAGCGCCAGCGCCGTGTCAGCCCCAGCCAAAGTCACGCTGCGACCCACGAGCAGGCGAAGTGCCGCCAAGCCCGTAGAACCAGCGAAACCGCGGGTCGCAACTGTCGTCCACTGCGCCAGCCCCAGTTGCGACAACAACACCGGCATGAATTTAGCGGTGTATCCCCCTATGGGCAGGCCAGACCCGCACAAGGTATCCATGGCGCTCGAGGCGTTGCCTTCTTGAAGTAGAGCGTACGCCCCTGGAGCTCGGCGTGCAACACCAAGCACTAAGGATGCAAGCCGTCGAGCTTTGCGCCGAGCATGCGCCTGGGTGCCTGTGAGAAGCGACCGCCCTCGGCAAACGCGAATGCTGGGGTTCGCTACCCGCGCATCATCCGCGCGCGTTTGCAAGAGCCTCCTCACCAGATCGCCGCGGTAGGATGCGGTCGTGAGGGGAACGCCCACGGCCTGCACCCATGCGTCCGTCCAGAGCAAGCAAGCAGCGCCAACAGCAGCCAAAAGGGCTGCACCATGGGTCCTCAGGCGCCGCAGCTGACAAATAACACGAGTGACGAGACACGACGCGCCGAACGGGATGAAGTCGACGACCCGGTCGCCGTTCCGAATCGCCTGCTGGCTGCGCCTGATGGTGCTTTTCAGCCACGAGACGAAGCTAGCACTTCTGACGTTGGTCATTCGGCGCAAGATATTGCCCTTCCGCTCCCGTAGACCGGACTGCTGGCGGACTTGGCGAGCACGGTAGCGCCCAGACATGTGGATGTCATACTTGCTCTTCCGCGTTCCGAAATCCATGCTGCATATTCTGCACCGCCACGGTGGGCCCTCGCACTCCCCAGACATAGCTCACACCACCATTTCCATGCCCACCGCTCAAGGATGTTGGAAGGACGAGCGTCCGTGCGGAGCTAAGCTCACAGCGCAAGTGATGGGCGGAAAGAACTCGCAGACACTGACAGATTGCTCGTAGGCAGCAGCGATTGCTGCTGGCCGAGCTAAGCTCACAGCCACGCTTCATTACTCTGAACCAGAATGGCAACAGCAACCACAAAAGTGCAGGAGATGTATATTTGGGGCTCTCCTGAGATCCTGAGTGAAATCCTGGCCCCATCTGAGGCTCCTCGTGCTGTGAGTCGTTCAGGGTCCTCGACATAGTGTGAGTCGTTCAAGCTCCTCGTGGCGTGAGTCGTTCGGGCTCCTCGTGGCGTGCGTCGTTCGAGCGCCTCGTCCTGCTGCGAGTCGTTCGGACCCCCTCCTTCAGGGGTGAGTCGTTCGGGCTCGTCGTGATGCGAGACGTTCGGGATCCTCGTCCTGGAGTGAGTCGTTCGGGGTCCTCGTGTTGTGAGTCGTTCAGAGCTCTCGTCGTGGTGGGAATCGTTCGGGCTCCTCGTGGTGTGAGTCGTTCGGGCTCCTCGTCCTGGTGTGAGTCGTTCGAGCTCCTCCTTCTGGTGTGCGTCGCTCGGGCTTTTCGTGGTGTGAATCGTTCGGGCCTCTCGTCCGGGTGTGAGTCGTTCGGGCTCCTCGGGCCGTGAGGCGTTCGAGCAACTCGTTCCCTCTTGAAGCCTCTGGTGAGCCACTGGGCGACCCAGGAGCTTCTGGGAGCGTCTTGGACATCCATGCTGCATGTTCTGCACCGCCACAGTGGGCCCTCGCACTCCCCAGACATAGCTCACACCACCATTTCCATGCCCAACGCTCTAATGTGTTGGAAGGACGAGCGTCCGCGCGGAGCTCAGCTGACAGCGAAACTGATGGGCGGAAGAACTCACAGACACTGACAGATTGTAGGTAGGCAGCCGCGATTGCTGCTGGCCGAGCTAAACTCACAGCCACGCTTCATTATTTTGAATCAGAATGGCAACAGCGACAACTACGGTGCAGGAGAGGTATATTTGGGGTTCTCCTGAGCGCCTTGATGAAATCCTGGTCCATGTGAGGCTCCTCGTAATGTGAGTCGTTCGAGGTCCTCGACGTGGTGTGCGTCGTTCGGACTCCTCGAGGTGTGAGTCGTTCGGGCTCCTCGTGGTGTGCGTCGTTCGAGCGTTTCGTCCTGCTGTGAGTCATTCGGGCCCCTCCTCCTGGTGTGAATCGTTCGGGCGCTTCGTGGTGTGAGGTGTTCGGGACCCTCGTCCTGGTGTGAGTCGTTCGGGGTCCTCGTGGAATGTGTCGTTCGGAGCTCTCGTCGTGGTGGGAGTGGGTCGCGCTCCTCGTGGTGTGAGTCGTTCGGGCTCTTCGTCCTGGTGTGGGTCGTTCGAGCCCTTCTTTCTGATGGGAGTCGTTCGGGCTTCTCGTAATGTGAGTGGTTCGGGCCATTCGTCCTGGTGTGAGTCGTTCGGGCTTCTCGGAACATGAGGCTTTCGGGCACCTCGTTCCCTCCGGGAGCGTATGGTGAGCCTCTTGCTGGCCCTATGGGGCTTCTCGGAGTGTCTTGGGGGCCTTGGAGGAGCCGCTTCGGACCTCCTGGGGGACTCTGGGACTGTGGCACGATGAGCCAGGGGCCAGTAGATAAACTGTGGCGGGATTGGCCGAAGGCTTGTAGATAAACCGAACCTCGGTACATAGACTGCGGCTACGGAGAACCGCTGGGGAATCGTAAACCCTTCGACCCTCCGATGGCCAAGCCGTAGTGAACCCCAGCCTTTGTCACACTCCGTTGTGCACCCGAGCTCCTGATCGCGACTCCAAGAAAACAGCGCGAGCACCATCCACATATCCTACGCGATTAGTAAACCCGATAGGAACTCGAAAGACACCTGGCATCCGCGCGGTTATCAGAAAGCACGATTGAACTTTCCAAGGGTTCGCCTGTGGATGATGGGTTCGGGAATGGTCTTTTGTAGCTTGTGGGCGGAGAGCGGAGCGAGCTACGCGCGTTCTCGCACAGACCTCGACTGCGTGGAGACACATGGAGCTCACTAGCGGGGTTAATAGAATTTGCCATGCCACCGACGTGCATGATGCGCTGGCTCAGCGCTCTCATGTCCACACGCAAAGGGGAGCCCGAACGACTAACACCAGAACGAAGGGCCCCAACGACTCACACCTCGATGAGCCCGAACGAGTTACAAACAAAGCGCGGCCCCAGCAACTCACAGCAGGATGAGCGACACAAACGACTCGCACCACGAAGAGCCCGAACGACTCACACGCAAGGAGGCGCCCAAACGACTCACACCAGAACGAGGGACCCGAACGAAACACACGGTGAGGAGCCCGAACGACTCACACACAAGGAGAGGCTCGAACGACGCACACAAGGAAAAGAAGCCAGAACGACTCACACCACGA